TCCTCTGAAACTGGATTTACAGGTGGTTGGGAGCTACCATGTGAGTGCTGGGAACTGAACCCTGGTCTTCTGCGAGAGCAGCAATTGCTATTACCTGCTGAGCCATCTCTCCATCTCCCAGGATATATATTGTTTAAACCAAGTAATTGATGACTTGTCCTATGATCTAAATGGCTGTCTTGGTTCTTACTGTTTTCATTACAGTGAGTTCAAATTTTGGTATTTAAATGTATGTACATGTTGACCTTTTATAGATTTGTGTCTGTAAGTTTAGCCCGACTGTTGACTGATAATATTTGGGGGGAAAATTGCTTCTTTACTAGGTAGGACAGTTCTCATCATTTTTCCTGAAACAGTGGACTATGATGTCTAGTTACATAGTATATATACTGTTTGAAGTACTATAATTTAGAGGTGATTTAGGTATATGGGAGGCTGTACACAGGTTGTAACAGTGTGCCTTTTCACACGGAGGATTTGAACATCCACAGATAGTAATTTCTGAGTGGTGTTCTGGAACTAATTCCCAAAGCACACTGAGGGATAACTGTATATAATTCTCTTCTCTGTCTCGTATTTGTCTCTGTCAGATCATACAGTCCACTGAAGAATTTGAAAAGTCCCTGAAGGAGATGAGATTTTTAAAAGGTGATACTACCGACTTGCTGAAATATGCTCGGAATATCAATTCTCATTTTGCTAATAAGAAGTGCCAGGATGTGATTGTGGCAGCTAGAAACCTAATGACCTCCGAAATTCACAACACTGTGAAGGTACTTGGGGATTACTGCATTGCTTATGCAAAGCACCTTAATTTTGAGATACATATGATAAAGTAGAAAGGAATAGCAGGCCCTGAACTTGTGGAGACAAATGGTCCTCTTTAAAATGCTCCTGCTATCTCCCTTTTCTTTGATTATTGTGAGCTCCAGATAAAATACGTACTTGAAAGCGACTTGAAAGTGTAAACTGAGAAAGCCTGTATAAATGTAGTGGATTGCTGTTCTTGAAATTAAAAAGCAGATTATCTCATCTCCATTACATGAAGATGTGTGTGTTTGGACTGTATTATGTATAGAGAGTGTGACCTGTTAAGAGAAGTTCACTTCTTGCTTCCATGGGCACCTGCACACTCATGCATGCCCACGTGTGTGCATGCACACACATAAATAAGAATAAAATAAATACCTTTTTAGAGGTATAAATAAATACTTGCAATGGGAGTGAACTAACTTACATGAAGAATAGTTTAGTCTTTGATAAGTCTGGGCCATTTTGTTTTATATCGTGTATATATAATATATATATATTATATACACATATACATATATATATTTAATAACATTTGGTGAATGCAAAGTGTTTCTGAAACATTCTGAACCTTACTAAAATAGAGACTAAGGCAATCTATTAATAGATTTTCCAGCTTGAAATGGCAGTGAGGATTCTGAACTCCATTCTCTTTTCTTTTTTTGAGGCAGGGTCTCAACTGTGTAGCCCTGGCTGGCATAAAACTTGTTACATAGCCTGTCAGTGGTGACGCATGCCTTTAATCCCAGCACTTGGGAGGAAGAGGCAGGTGTATGTCTGTGAGTTCAAGGCTAGCCTGGTCTATAAAGTGAGTTTCAGGAGAGCCAGTGTTACACAGAGGGATCTTGTCTCAAAACAAAACAAAAGACCTCATTATATAGACCAGGCTGATCTTGAACATGGAGAACCATCTCCTCTGCTTCCTAAGTACTGGGGTTAAAGGTGTCCACCATACCCAGCTCAGGCTCTGGACTCTTAGTCCTTTCTTCTGCACACCTCATTTCCCTTGGTGTGCCCCGTTATTGTGTCCAACAAAGTATTTGGTCATTTGAAGTACACAGGTATTAACCCATTTCGAGTTAACCTGGTATTTTTATGAGACCTGAGAATAATGAGTTTTGCAGGTCTTTTCAGTTATTCCAAATCTTTGCTTTTCCATCAATATTAAGAATCTCACAGTACATCATGAGATTCCAACTTCTTCCCATGTGCTGTCAGTCAAGATCAAACAGTCTGTAAATCAGCCTGCTTCCTTGCAGATCTGCTAGTCACTCTAGGGCCACAACTTTGTCACCATGGAAACCTTGAGTGTCTTTATCCTCTGCTGTGTGCGTGACTTGGAATTTTCTGGTTTCTCTGTTTGAATCCTAGATCACCCCTGATTCTAAGGAAGCTGTACCAGACTTACCCAGCCCTGATGTGGATAACAAGCTACAGGTGCAGAAGGTGTGCAAAATGCAGTTCAGCGACACTGGGAACCTAGAGCCTGAGACGTCACTGGACCCACATTCCTTTTCTTTACCCACGTGCCGCATCAGCGAGTCTGTGAAGAAGTTAATGGAGCTTGCCTATCAGACTTTACTAGAGGCAACAACAAGTAGTGATCAATGGTAACACAGATGAATTGATCCCTGTCATTTACTTATAGAAACATGAGTATAAATGTGTTGAAGCAGGTGCTGGCTGGGTGTGTTGGCCTATGTTCATAAACCTAGCACTTGGAAGGCTGAGGCAGGATTGTGAGTTTGAGGCCATCCTGGCCTATAAAGCAAGGTCTGGGCCAGCCTGGGTTACCTAATACAATCCTATTACGAAAAAAAAAATAAACAAGACCCAGAAAAGCAAAAAAAAAAAAAAGAAAGAAAGAAAGAAAGAAAGAAAGAAAGAAAGAAAAAAAGAAAGAAAGAAAGAAAGAAAGAAAGAAAGAAAGAAAGAAAGAAAGAAAGAAAGAAAGGAAGAAAGGAAGAAAGAAACCAAGAAATTGGTACATGTGTGGATAGTTACATAGGTTTATTTGGCATTAAATTTTTTCACTTTTTAGTAAGCCATGCTTTCATTTTTGGCTCACTTTTTGATTTTAAATTTAAATTTTGGTTTAAATTTGGCTCTCTATGATCAAAGGATGTTATATAAGAAAGCACAGGCAGAGGACCTAGAACACTCCCTTGCAAAGGCTTAATATTGAAGTGCTCATTGCTGCATAATTATGGTAGTTCTACCACATGGGACAGCACCGTGTGGAGCCTGAGGAGCTGGAGGGACAGAGAACTTCCCGTCTGCTCCACACAGCAATGCGCTGCATGCTGGAGGGACGGAGGGAGGGTCAGTCTTCTTCGGGATTAGAACATGCCGCAGATCCGGCTGCACCCTTTCATGATGGCTCCTCTTAATCTACACTGTGTTCAGGGTGCCTCAGGCTCTGTTTCACATCTCATACAGAATCTTTGTTTTGAAGCAGCTCCTGAGGAAAAAATGGCAGGCTAGCCAGTTGATTGTAGAGCAGGCTTATAAAGCCCATTCAGTATGAGTCTGTTTAGCTCTTCTTACTTCTCAGCCTCAAAGAAAACACTCTGAGTTTGGGCTTGACTTAGTCATTGTATTCTCAGATCTATTGGTTATTTTCATGTGCAGATACTTTTTTGGGTGGATGGGGTTCGAGACAGGGTTTCTCTATAACAGCTCTGGCTATCCTGAAACTTATTCTGTACACCAATATGGTCTCAAACTTACAGAGATCTGCTTGCCTCTGCCTCCTGAATGTTGGGATTAAAAGTGTGTGCACCACCCAGCACAAACACTTTTTTATGCTGCTCTGAATAGAACTTATTTACCTAGTGCTACTGTGGCTTCAGTTAGTCTAACTGAAGTATTAGTATTGATTATGAGTAGAAAGAATAGTGCATATTTATTTTTATGTGTGTGTGAGTGATGCTGTGGCACACATGTGGAGATCAAAGGACAGATTTGAGGAATCACTTTCTTTCACCTTAACATGGGCTCTGGGAATCACACTTGGTTCACTAGGTCTGTGAGAGTGCTATTGCTTGCTGAGCCATTCACTGGCTTGTGCAGAAGACCTGTTCCTTTGTAAAGGATGAATGTGCGCTTTTGGCAAGGTAAACATAGCTGTCACTATTTCCTCGAATGACATTCTTCAAATATGTCAGACCAGAAGTTAGAGATGCATGACATTATTTAAAATTTTTCTAAGAAAATTAATGCCAAACACTGTTTTGGTATGCTGAATATTTATATTCATTCCATTTGCAACAGATTTTTTTTTAATATTTATTTGAATTATTTAAAAAATCTTTATGTGTACGGGTGTTTTGTCTGCATGTATATCTGTGAACACAAGTATGCCTGGTGCCAGCAGAGGTCAGAAGAAGGCATTGCATCTCCTGGTGTTGGGAGCCACCATGTGGGTGTTGGGAACAGAACTCTGTGTAGGGGTGGCGGCGTTGCTTGACATCCCAGATGGGCTTTAAAAGAACCATCTCTCCATCTCCATGTATTTTCTCTTTTCAGGTTCATTTTGGAGGCCAAGGCCTCTTGTTCCCCTACACACACCCCTTTTGAAATGCATTTTAATAGTAATCTTTTGGTGGTTAAAATCAGATTTAAAGGGCAAAAACCTTGAGGGTTCGATGCTGTTCTCAGAAATGTGAACTCATCTCTGCGTTGGGGAAGAAGGGGAAGGTGAAGGCTCAAAGTCAGCCTGACTCTAAAGAACCCAGTGAGTGCCTTGGTTGATGCCTTGCCCTTTGCAGAGTGCATCGGGAACAGGTGACATTTGCTTGAGGCTTAGCTCCATTAGTCACTGGCAGGATACTTGGAGTGCTGGCAGAGCACAGATGGGTAAGTGGAAAAGAGGCTTTGGGATGAATGCTCCCGTTCTGAAGGTCGTTATTGTATCCACATTTTGGGAAAGAAGTTCCGTTTATAGATGCTGATGAAGTGTGTCTCCACTGAGATCCAGTTTTCTGCAGCCATATTTTTATCAGCTGATCTTCATGAACAGAACACCTGCGTTGTTTGTATAATTTCTCTTGAACGTTTGTTCTCCTTCCAGTGCCGTTCAGCTTTTCTACTCAGTGAGGAATATCTTCCATTTGTTCCATGACGTGGTGCCAACATACCACAAGTAAGTGTCTCATTTCTGGATAATTGTCTGTAGAAATGGTAAGTTGGGTCAAAAACTGGTTTTCACCACAGCTGTTGAGTAAAATTGGCAGTAAAAGTACACCAAACTAAGATTTTTTAAAGGCTGTAGACATTTACTGTGGTGTGTACAGTGACCTTGCGTGTGGGTGGCACACACTTAAAAGGTCAAAAGACTTTATCCAGTTTTTAATGCCCAGGCATTTTGGGAGCCACCTTACTTTTCTTAGTTAGGAAATAGGAAGGTCCTCATCCAATGAGTGTGCTTGGTTTTGTAGTTCTGTAGACCCTACCCATGAGAAGGCCCTCTTAGTGTGAAATATGCTCAGGCACTCTTTCTAATGTTAATATAGCATCAGGCTGTATTAACCCAATGTCTTGGGTTTTAAAGGTTTGTTTGCTTTTGATATTAATCTGAAAAGTTGTTCAACTCTGCCTCTAGTTCTTTCTGTTATTAAAATGAAATGTTTTCATGGTTTTTTGTTTTGTTTTCAAGACAGAATTTCTTTGTTTAGCTGTGGCTGTTCTGGAATTCATTTGGTAGACCAGGCTGGCTTCAAACTAAGTGATCTTCATGTCTCTGCCTCCCAAGTGCTGGGATTAAAGGTGTGCGCCATGACAGCCTGGCTTTTGTATGCTTTGTATAGATATTTTTAGTAATTTGTCACCAAAACCATTCCATAGTTAAGGGTTCACCTCTCTCTTTTTTAAAGATTGAGTTTATTTTTTATGTTTATGTGTGTGTGTGTTCACTTGTTCGCCTCACTGTGTAGTCTTAAATTTCCCATGTGATTCTAATCTGTAGTCAATTTTGAAAAATTTCAGTGTTTCATTATATAAATGAAATGGGAGTTCAGAAAGGGAGAAGTGAACCTGTATTTCCCAGACTGTCTAAGTTGAATGGAAGTTCAGAATGCAGTTTAATGTGTTTGTTGTGCTAAGAGCAACATATCCACGGTTGATTCTTTTGGTTTTTCTTTTTTTATTAGTCATTGGAATAGTAGTTTCTTTTAATGTGTGTGTGCGTGCATGTGCACAGATACCTACAGAGGCCAGAAGTTGGATCCCCTAGAGCTGGAATTACAGGTGGTTGGTTGTAAGCCACCTGACTTGCATACTGGGCATCAAACTCGGGTCCTGTGCATGAGCAGCAGGCACTCTTGGTTTTTGACACTTCTCTCCAGCCCACCGCCCGCTAGGAGAATTTTATTGGATAAGGTGATATTGGCTTGAACAACTAACTGAAGGAGGATGATTACATGTTTTGTTATGTTCAGCATATACAAGTAGACATTGGTCAAAGCCAAGGGCTGCCACCTTAGAGGAGAGACAACTTTCCAGAAAGCTTGACATGAGTAACCGGTGGTTTCCTTTTCTACCCTTCCTCTTGGCCTAGGGAGAACCTTCAGAAGCTCCCCCAATTGGCTGCCATTCACCATAACAATTGCATGTATATTGCTCACCACTTGCTGACCCTGGGTCATCAGTTCAGATTGCGTCTTGCTCCCATTCTTTGCGATGGCACGACTACCTTTGTGGACCTTGTACCTGGCTTCAGAAGACTTGGTAACTGATCCCTCACATTTGGAAATGTGACTTATATATACAGTCTTAATAGCTTTGTAATTTAGTAGCCGAGGAGGTTAGGAGTTAGTGATGTATTAGATGTGTTAGAGTATGGGAAGTCTTCTAGTTTGCTAATATTTCTAGTTATTTAATTCTATAAAATGGATACCATCTTTGTGCAAACATTACTTTTAAAAAAAATATTTATTTATTTATTTATTTATTTATTTATTTATTTATTTATTTATTATGTATACAGTGTTCTGGCTGCATGTTTGCCTGCAGGCCAGAAGAGGGCACCAGATCTCATTACAGATGGTTGTGAGTCACCATGTGGTTGCTGGGAATTGAACTCAGGACCTCTGGAAGAGCAGCCAGTGCTCCTAACTGCTGAGCTCAAGCCCACAAACATTACTTTTTCATGACATGATTTTGTGGTATGTTAACATGCCTGACTTTATTGCTGGTATGCATTGGCTCCCCCGAGTCATTTGTGTTAGGAGAAAGCCACATAATGAGATGTGTACCGTGACAGTGCTGTTGGTGTTGTTGACAGACCCTCATTGACGTCAGCTCTTGTTCTTGTAAACCCCAAGGCAGCTCCCTCCCTTTAGGACTTCTGTGGTTTTGATTGTGATTATTAGAAGTCCAAAGAAATCCACTGTAGGGTAAACTGAAATTTATTATGAGGGCACCCAGAGAAGAGTTGAGAACCAGTGTGGTCCAAGTAGCCTTTCAGCTGCACGGGTTCCCATCAGCGATGTAGACGCTTCAACGGAAAGCAGCTGGTTTTTATAGAAATGATTTTTTCCTTGCTGTCTCATATTGCAGGCAAACTGTTGAGAAAGGATTATCTATCACCCTTTGATGGGATCAGAAGGACTGGCTAAGTGGATTCAGGATCATTTTATACAGACAGGAAGTTGACAAAGAACACATTTAGTGACTTAAAAATACAGTTGTTCTATACAGGCCCTGCCGCTGTCAGGCTTATGTTCATCTCGCTCCCTGGTTTAGCAGTGTGGGTCAACAGGCTTATGGTTCTTTATTTTGCCCCTGTAGGCACAGAGTGTTTTTTGGCCCAAATGCGGGCGCAGAAAGGAGAACTTCTGGAAAGATTATCAAGTGCTAGGAGTTTTTCCAACATGGATGACGAAGAGAATTATTCTGCAGCAAGCAGAGCAGTGAGGCAGGTAGGAGGCTGTTGCAGGCACTGATGACGGTGCCCACCCATCCTTAGAGGCTCCTCACCCCACCTAGCAAGTCGCTCAGTTGATTCCTGTACTCCCTATTGGAAAGTTTAGATACCTGTCAGAGCTATGTGTAAGGCCTTCTCCCTGTTCAAACAAGACACGAGGAAGCCATCTTTCCCTTGACTCAAATTTTTAAATGTTGGCTTTCCTCTCTACTCCTGTCTTAGTGGGTCTTTCTTCCATTGGTGTATATTGGTTGTATGTGGACTGGGTTTGATAAGGACATTTGCATGCAGATACTCGTAGAACACACACTCCTTTCCTTCCTTTTTCTCACCTCTCGTATCAAGTGCTGAGTCACTTGCTCTGCTTGTCTGTCATTACACAGACATTATTGTCTGGGTCTGTGTAAGATCTAGGAACCACAGATGAGCAAAGCCATGATCTGTGTCCTCTGAGACTCACTTCACTTGCTTACAGTGGTCATCTCCAGCTGAGCATGTTTTCTTGCAAATGACTCGACTCCAGTCTTTGTGGCCCAGCAATGCTCCATTGTGTACACACCACATTTAGCTGATTTCCTCTTCACTGCAATGCTCCCATCAGGATGGGTCTGCTTTTGTTCTCTTAAGGATATCCCTGAGTCAAATATTGAAGAGCCATAGGGTTCCAGTTACCTCACTTTTATATCACTTCTTTCCCCCATTTTACTTATCGCATAAAATTGTAAGTATGACTTGTAGCCACCTCCTTCTGTGTAAATAGCTTCGTTCTTCTGACAGATACTGCACCAGCTAAAGAGACTTGGAATTGTGTGGCAGGATGTCCTGCCGGTGAATATTTATTGCAAGGCTATGGGGACCTTGCTAAACACCGCGATTGCTGAGATGATTAGCAGAATCACTGCTCTGGAGGTAAGGGCCCACACAGACTTGAAATGCAAGTCTTATCCCGCACTGTGACTTTATTAAGAAAGTGATGCTGCAGCCTTGTTTTTAATTGGCACAAATGGTAGAAGAGATTGGTTATTTAGTGTCTAACTCATGCTGTTGTGGTTTGGTTGGTTGGTTCTAGTTTTGTCTGAATTCTGTTTTGCTGGGAACTTGCTAATCTCTTTTATACCTAGAGAAGAAAGTAGGGTTGTGCGACTTCTCAATCTAGCATCCAAATTAGGAGTTAGGGCATTGGAAACTGGGCAGTGGTCCCAAGAAACATTATTTAGTATGAAGTCATTTGTTCTGCAGATGAACTAAGTAACTTAGTTTAGCAACGGGAATAGTCTATGCAGGTACCACTTTGCCAACATACTGTGCAGTTGAGTGGACTGTGTGATCCTATGAAGAAAATTGCCTGGACGTGGCTAGCTGATCCTCCATAGTGTAGCGCGATCAAACCCTGTCCTCTGCAGCAGGCTGTGTGTAGCACATTGTGCTGGGAACACGGGCTCCTGTGCAGACACACAGAACTGCTGACCATCGGCCGACACACAGCTTATCTCATGCTAGCTTCAGGAGGGTTTTCAGAGAGCTGACTGGATCTAGTGACTAGTAAGATGTGCTTCAATGGTTGGTTGGAAAGCATCTGCTCTGCCCTGCCCTTTGGCTCAGTTCTATTCTGTTACGTTCCCTTTGTGCTAAACTAGGACATCTCAACTGAAGATGGCGATAGATTGTATTCCCTGTGCAAAACTGTGATGGATGAAGGGCCGCAAGTGTTTGCACCTCTGTCTGACGAGAACAAGAACAAGAAATACCAGGAAGAGGTTCCAGTCTATGTGGCCAAATGGATGCCTTTCAAAGAGCTGATGATCATGCTGCAGGCTAGCCTGCAAGAAATTGGAGATCGGTGCGTATCTGTTTTCTATGGCAGCATATGTGTGGTCACAAAAGGGGACTAGGACCATCAATGGCAGTCGTCGTTGTGTCGTGTGTGTGTGTGTGTGTATGTGTGTGTGTGGTGACAGACAGATGTGCAGGTTATTGAATCAGGGTCTTGTGCATGCTAGGCAAGCCCTCTACCACTGAGTCATGTCTCTGGCACCTCTGGTACATAAATTTCATGTTGCATTGCAGTAGTTGAGGCCTTTTAGTGGTCTTTCATAGGGCAGACCTCATGACCACTTTCTCATATTTTTTTTTTAAAGATTTATTTATTTATTATGTACAGAGAAGAAGGTGCCAGATCTCATTACAGATGGTTGAGCCACCATGTGGTTGCTGGGAATTGAACTCAGGACCTCTGGAAGAGCAGTCGGTGCTCTTAACCTCTGAGCTGTCTCTCCAGCCCCACTTTCTCATATTTAGTAACAAAAGATTTTTCATTCATACTGTTTTGATAGAATGTGATTTTGGCATGCTGTACAGATGTTCTGGTGTTTCTAATTAGTGCATCCTTCTTACACCTGAATGTGCGTCTTAAGAATGATTAGATTCCCAGCACTGCAGTTTATAAACAATAATTTAACAGAGAAGTGATTGTCAAGTCTTAAGTATTCAGCACAAAACCACCTTTTGAATGACCAGTTCTTTTTCTCCAGGGAGAGAGAGTGATTCTCAGCCTGTGGATTGTGACCCCCTTTGGGGTGGAATGACCCTTTCCCAGGGGTTGCACATCAGCTATCTTGCATGGTAGATATTTACATTCCATATTAAAGGGTCAAGGCATTAAGAAGGTTGAGAACCACTGGTTTAGGAGGTTAAGTTCCACACCCCTGCAAAAGGTGTTTTGTGTTTTTCACACAAGGTCTTTCTGTATACTCCAGGCCGGAAATTGTTATATACACCAGGCTGGCCTTGAATTTCAATAAAACATCTTTTTGCCTCAGCCTCCCAAGTGCTTAAATTGCAGATGTGAGCCACCATATGTGGCTCAAGTTCTCTGTCTCTGTCTCTCACTCACTCACTCACTCACTCACTCACTCACTCACTCACTCACTCACTCACTTATTTAAAAAAGATTTACATGTTTTGCCGGGTGGTGGTGGTGGTGGTGCACAACGCCTTTAATCCCAGCACTTAGGAGGCAGAGGCAGGCGGATCTCTGTGAGTTCGAGGCCAACCTGGTCTACAGAGCGAGGTCCAGGACAGGTTCCAAAGCTACACAAAGGAACCCTGTCTTGAAAAACAAAAACAAAAACAACAACAAAAAAGATTTATGTACTTTATGTGTATGGAAATTTTCTGTGCATGTATGTCTGTGTACCCATATGTGTGCCTGGTGCCTACAGAGACCAGAAGAGGATATCAGGTCCCTTGGAACAGGAGTTATAGATGGTTGTGAGCTGCCATGTAGGTGCTGGGAATTGAACCCTGGTCCTCTAGAAGAGCAGCCAGTGCTCATAACCACTGAGCCATCTCTCCCCTGTCTCCACTGGCTGTACTTGTGCCAGATGCAGCCATGAGCAAGATCATCTAAAGAAGAGTGGGATTCCCAGGATTTATTTAATTCCTTGAGTGTTTGGATCACATAGGATAACTTAAAGTCTGGCTTTTGTGGAGACATAATAGGAAATAGAACCTGTCTTTTTTTGCAGGTGGGCAGATGGAAAGGGGCCCCTGGCAACTGCATTCTCTTCCAGCGAAGTAAAAGCTTTAATCCGTGCCTTGTTCCAGAACACAGAAAGAAGAGCTGCTGCCCTTGCTAAGATTAAATAGTTCTCCCTCCCTGAGAAAGCCTCTCTTGACTCTGGTTCCTCCATGGCTGTCATTATTTCCTTCAGAACTTCTCAGAATCACTCATTGCTTTTGGTGAACCAATATATCATGGAAGTGTGACTTCACATCAGGACACCTGACATGGCCTGGATGAAGGCTTTCTGAACTGGATATTAGGACATCACTTTAAGCAATTCACTGGGTTCCATGACTGTTGCTGCTCTCCCTTGCCAAGTATGAATCTGCTGGGCAGCATGATTTGTACCCAGGCCCTCTGAGAGCTGTGTACATTGTAATTTTAGACCCTAGCTTTGGACATTCCAAAGTTAGGGTTAAGAATTTGTAAGATACTTTTTTGTGGGGAGGGTGGGGATTAGGGGCACATTACTTGGCCTTACAAGAATTAGGGAAACCTCTTATATTTCTTTCCAGTAAATAATTCCTTTCAGAGTTAAGAGTGAGTGTCTTGAATAACATGAGCTGTGGCCAAAGAGACCAACACCACATTTTCTCACGGGCTTTTCCCTTTCCTGAAGTCTGACTCGGGCGTGTCCTGTCTTTGAGCTAGGGTCTGGCTAGTTCTCTCCGACCTTGCACTCTCAACCCCCCCTTGGCTTCCCAACTGTAAGCACCCACCACCAAGACTGCCTTGCCCCTCTTCATAAGACCACCTCATGTTTTTGAGAAGTTTTTGGCATGTTTTGCTATTGTGAAAAAATTCAATTTTTTTTTTTTTTGGATGGATCCCTTCTCTTGCTGCCCCCCATTCTCAAGTCCTGTTTTTTCTGTTTCCTGTCAAATGTCAAAAATTCTAAATTGCCAGAATTCCTTTGGAAAGTTATGTGGATGAAATCTAACACCCTAGTCCTTTAGTTGGCACACATAGGTGATCTTTTTATTTTGCCTGTGTTTATGTTTGTGGGTGTGGTTTGTGTGTGTTCACACCTATGTGTGGAGGCCAGGAGTTGCTGTCAGGTGTCTTCCTCCATTGCTCTCCACCCTCTTGAAGCAGGATCTCTCACCTGGACTCAGCTCACCCCTTTGGCTAGTTCTTCCTGAGTGCTGGGATTGCAGGTGGGTCACCTCAAGGCCTGGCATTTATGCAGGTGGTGGGGATCGAACCTCCTTTCCTCACACTGGCATGGCAGGTGCTTTACCCCTGGAACCATCTCCCCAGACCCAGCACAGACTTAAGTTTTCAGCTCAGCTTTGTGTTTGAGACTTTTGTAGTCTTTGGAGATGCATACTGTGAAAACTCTCCCAGATTGTGCTCTCGATACCATTTCCCTTTCAGAAAGGGGCTGGGAAGTGTATTCTTGGTGTGCTTCAGAGGCAGGTGCTCGGAAGGGGTTCCAGTACGTGGGCCTGCAGCTTCGGTCTGCACTGTCCCAATCCTTTGCCTCTGAGAAGCTCCATTTTCCTACTGTCTTTCATGTTCTCTGTTTTCACCCTCTTGGTCTTAGTTCTGATTTGATCCTGTTAATCAAGCCATTCTGCTTGCTTAGTCTTTCTTTTCCTATTTGAGGGTCATAGAACTAACTATTAAAAAAAAAAAAAAAAAAGACGTTTCTTTAGGATTTAGTTGCACTAATGACTGTCTGTATGCTGCGTGTTCTGCTGTGAGAGGAGGGGAAAGCAGTCCGAGCCCACTGGTGGTGGTTGGTGGCTGTTTGAGAACCAAGAAGGGGGCTTTTTTAAGAGAGAAGGAAGGGGCTATTTGCACAGGTGGGGAAAATACTGTTTTTGAAAATTCGCACAATTTGAGGTGGCATTCTTTTCTCAGTAATTGAAAGAATGAGCTAAGGAAAAGAATTGAAATCAATACAGTGCGGGGCCTATTAACACAACAGATTTCTTTTGTTCGTAGAAGCTATTCTGCTTGGCAGGTATAGCAGTTTGGAGGTGGGGTCTCAGACTGGAAACCAGGCCCCTCGTTCCTTTCTCAGTTTAACAGGAAACCTCATCTGTAGTTTCTGGTTGCACAGACTCAGCCTTGGGGCACGATTTCCCCTCTTGTGAGCAGTCTGTAAGCCGTGATACATACAGAGCGCAGGCAAACAGCCTTTCAGCCAGTGTCATTGATAGCTGCCAGCTAGGTGTTTAGTGTGGTTAGATGAATCCTCTGATTGGACACAAGGGAACTGTGGTCTGGGAGCTCATACTCAGCCTTTGGAGAGACCTGTTCTGATTGGGAACATCATTTGGCCTGGGAGGAGAAATTCAAAGAACATATCCATTGTGGTAGCGAGGGAGTCACTGGGAATCATTCATTGAGTGGATTGTGTCTCAAGTGGGAGGAACCTGTTCCTTAAGAACAACCAGGGTTATACGGAAGTCCTTGAAAGATTTCCCAAGATCGTAAAATGGGAAATTGTTCAAAAGGTAAGTGTGCAAACAACCTAAACCAGTGAGCTGGCCCTTGTTGATCCTGAATTCCTGGCTGAGCCTATGGGCTTTGTTACAAAAGAATTTCTCTAAAGTGGGGACCCTCCAGATGGCGCTGTTTCCTCAGGCCTGAGCATCACCAGGCATCTAGCTGGTACAGGGGATAAAGGAAGCTAGAAAACCTGTCTGTTTACTCCTGAATTAACTTTTTGGCCTTGATCAGCTCTGGAAAGGTCATCTAGATTTTGAACAGCGAGTACACTACAAATTATAAGCTTACTTGTGAGTAAATCAAACTGAATTTGATTACTGCCATTATTAAAGATGAGATCTATAATTCCCTTATTAATTGAGTCTCCCCACCCACCCTGGGTTTATTTTGGAGTTCCCAAGGTTTTTTTGCTTTTTGTTTTCCTTTTCGGAGCACAGAAACACACAGACATGGAATACTTTTGTGATCATATAATCCAAAATAATGTAATTGTCCAAGCTGCGTGGTTGTTTTTGTTCCCTGGATAGATGAAGATGTGCATGGGGTGACAGTGATGGGAGGTAGCTGGGGACACAGGAAGCCTGCTGGACATTACCTCATGCACAGTAGTCTTGGCAAGTTAAGTGGTTTCTGCCTTGGCTTTC